CAATATATTGAAAAATGCTATCTTCTTGCGGTAACACACTTGATCATATACAAGAGTCTTATGTGTTGCATGTGATGATTTGTATATTGCATATTGGCCTCCATTTTTAAATGAATCATTTATAAGTGGCCAAAATTAATTTTGACCACATTTCAATGGAACCATAAGTATTGTCAACTTATTGTACACTCATTACTGTCTATTTATAAATAACCCGTTTATGAATTCTTCCAAAATTGATGGCTTGATAATTGGACATTTGGATTGAGAAATTGTGAATTGGGCTTGTTCTGGTACTTTTTCTTGTCTTTTCATTTTTTGTGTTTTAAGTCAATGTATTGTGTTAAATATGCATATTGAAATGTAAGGATCGCTATGCCTCCTTTTCATCCTTCATTTTTCCAAAAATGAGAGATGGAACCATTTTTAAGATACCCATGGTGCTCAGTTCGACTTCAGTTCTCTTTGTAGATAGACCAAACCAGATTGTGCCCATCCCTAATGTCCACTGAAAGATTGCCTTCTTTCATATTTACTTCATCCGCAAGCATGAAACTACGAAATGCAGTCAAGGATGCACAATTCAGTGTTGATTTACTTTTCTTTCCTTTTTTGTCGTTACATTTTTATTCCCTATAGCTTTTCTCTTTATTAATAACAATCACGCTTTCACTTGTTTGCTTGTGTGCTCGAATCTCATGCTTTAATTTCCAAATTAAGATTTCATGATAAAATTCTTCTGGGAATAAGTTCAAGTCATTAAACTCTTATCTCCAGTCCTTAATACCCGGAATCATACCTATCTCTGTCTCGTCAGTTACTCTCACCATCTAATTCCACTGTCGAATCCACTATTTTTCTCTTATGATGTTCTTCTCTCCATCTCCGTCCTTCATAATCAAATACATTTTTATTTTTGTAGGCCCACCAAGGGCTTATATCTTCTTTAGCTTAAATTTGCAATATTTTGTATTGTTTGCCTACTCTTGTGGCTTTGTGTCATTGATACTGTTTAAGGAAAGAAAGGAAATTTTGGTTGTTTCTTTTTCCTAAAACAACTTATTTTTCCGTGATAGGCAGGATCGTCAATGGACTCGCGGGAACTAACACTAGAGGAGCTGGAAAAGAAGAAGAAGAAAGAAGAAAGGGTCTGAGCACCAATTTTTGTTTATTTATTTTTTTGTCATAAATTTATAATCATCCCGGATTCAGAATATAACAAGTTTCTCTTCGGCTAGGTTGGGCAACATGGTTTTGGGGTTGGGGCCTTGTTTTTATAATTAGACACGAAGTCAGTTCTTTGGAACATACAAGTTCTCTGAAACACTGTACAATATTGAATTAGTTTGTATTTTGTTCGAAGCTCTTATGATTAAATGTGGCTTTGCAGCATTATTTTTCCCAAGACCAAGTGCTGGAAAATTCCTAATTGCTAGTTTTTTGTTTAAGAGAAGAGTTCCTGGATTTTTATAGACCATTGTTTTATTTTAATTTGCCTGATTTGGATTTAGACTTGGACTTTTTTGTGCAAAATGGGTGCTGCTTTCTTCTTTTCCTTTTTTTCCTGATTATTTATTTTATTTGAACTGTTGACCAAATCAACTGTCATTTGACATGTTTTTTCATAGGCTAAAGAAAAAGAGTTGAAGAAACTTAAGGCTGCACAAAAAGCAGAGGCTGCTAAACTTCAGGTGATCTACCATCTAGACCCTCTTAGTTGGAGTTTCTGTATGCTGACCCATGAAGGGATAATGCAATTATTTTTCCTTGTTTCTTTTTGCTTATTATTTTCATGCTTTTGATGTGCAACCGAAGGCACAGCAAGCCTCTAATGCTTCCAAGTCAGGGAAGAAAAAGAATGTAAAAAGAGAAGCCGAGGATGAAAACCCCGAGGATTACATTGATCCAGAAACATCTGTGGGTGAGAAGAAAAAGCTGTCTCGTCAAACGGCGAAGACATTCAATCCCAGTGCTGTCGAGAAATCGTATGGAGCTTATAATTTTTTTCCCCTTCACTGTTATTGGATGCTTGATTTGTGATATTTCCTTGTCCTTCAAAATTCTAAATTAGGTGGTATGCATGGTGGGAAAAGTCCAAATTCTTTGAGGCAGACCCTAGCAGCTCAAAACCGCCTTTTGTCATTGTAAGTCTCCATGAACCTATGGCATTGCTGTAAAAATGTAGTTGTTTAATTTATTTCAATTATTACTTGCAATATTAGTTAAAACATAGTGATGAAATTATATTGGTGAATAGGTGGATACTCTGTGTTGCGTATCCTGAGGTACTGAAATGCCATTCAGAAAATGAAATATAGTTACAAAAGGAAATGAATTGAATTGGACCTGTTGCCAAAGAAACATGTAACTGTGATTTCCCATTTTCTCATCTTCTAGATCTGTCTCTCCGTTTCCCTATCTTTCTCTGTCTAACAGTGTCAATTTGGGCTTGAATGTGTATGTATTCTGGACATTGCAAGTGTATATTATGTTTATCAATTGCAAAATTTTGGCTCTTTCACCAATTTTTCGTTTTCAAGCAAGTAAAAAGAAAAATGGTTCTGCTAACCTGGTTCTCCAAGGAGCTTGTTGTAATGCCTTCAAGATAGTTGGGAATCTCAGAAACAAGAACATAAAGGGGAAAAAATTGCGATATGAGGAAATGTGATATTAATAGAATTCTGTTTGACTGATAAAAATAATTTGTACATACAAAAATATTTAGATTTTTTTTTCTATCAATCTTCAGATAGAGCCTACAGATGTAAACCTTGATGTGAAGTTGAATTACTTGAGTTATATTGGAAATTATTGAGGTAGCAGATACATAGAAACATTCAGTTTAGGCTATTATGGTGCTGCCACACCTTCCAGTTCCTGGTTCTAGGACATGTTGACCAAATCGCTCGCGTGCTTTTTGCACACTGCTTGTGGAATTCATTTTCTATTTTATAATTTTAACCATGCAAGTGTCAAATTCAAATTCGGTTATTCATGCAAAAACTTTGTGTCAACAAAATTAGATGAAGTGGAAAATATCTAATTTACTTGAAACGCGTGCATTCTTCATTCAAATTTATTATTTATCTTTGCATATGCGCATGAATAATTTTTGAAGCAGATTATAATTTCGAAGACATTAACTTAGATATATAGAAATGTGAATGTTTTTCATTCGTGGCAGTTGTAAATGGAAGGAGAGTCAACATAGGACGAATGGGATCCATTGATGATGAATGGGTCAACAATGCTCTGCATATTAAAATATTAATAGTTTTCAATTATAGGCATGAGAGCTCGAGCGACTTTTCAGTTACTAACGTGATAACTTGTGTAACGATCTATTATACCAGATTAATGTGTTTAACTTTCTTAGTTATGCAGTGAATTAATTTACGTATTTAGAATTAACAATCTGATGAGGACTCTGAACCCACAATATGCTGATCTCTCCTGGAATGATGGCATATTTGTGTGGTTTGATCTTGTTTTGGGAAAAAAAGACAACTTCTCATACTTTCTTATTAAGTTGACATATTCTAGTTTGATGGAACTAGGAAGTTTCCAATGGGTTGAATTTAGGGAAAAGAAAAGCTTGAGATCATTATACGAATAGATGAGACGAAAGGCAGGAATAGAGTAAGGAAGTCTGTCTATACGTGATATTTGAATTGTCTGTTTAATTTAATTACTCCTATATACTTTTCTCCTTGTTAATGCAGGTTTTACCACCTCCAAATGTCACGGGGGCTCTACATATTGGGCATGCCCTTACTGCTGCAATACAGGTCTTCTATGTTATTTGATATTTCAATTGTGAAAGTTTATCCAGGACTTCTTTTTTATGTCAAAATATTTCAACTTCAGGATGCAATTATTCGCTGGAGAAGAATGTCTGGATACAATACATTATGGGTGCCTGGTACGGATCATGCTGGAATTGCCACACAGGTTGTAAATTTATAACCTTTTATTTCCTGTAACTTCTTTCAGGGAGAAGTTGGTTGTCTACTACACTAATATGATGTACAAGTTGCTGACTATCTTCTTTCCCTGCCATGAGATTTTGGCTATTTTAATCCAACTATCTCACCGTGAGCATTCTGGTGTCAGATTATTGGCAGGAGAGGTGACAAATTTTGAGAATCCTAGTGCCATGCATACCTTATGATCATAACAACGAACTTGGGGTTGAGATATTAGTCAATGAATCTTGATTATTAATTAGACACAGTAGTATGCAGAAAAAGATTGTCTTCATGTCATAATTCTTTTCAAAATTAGTTTGGGAATGATTGATATATGTGACTTGTATACGAAAACTTATCTGGTAAGGCTTTTTTGACTTGTAAAATCAAGTGCAGAAAATGTGGAGACAGTCACTTCATCTGATTAAATTTTGTATATGTATAAAGTGTAGGAAGCTAAAATGATGGCATGTTATCAGGTAATGTTCTTAGTTAGTGAGTTTATTTTTGTTATGGTAAAAATATTGAGACGACCCATTCAAACAGCCAATATGCTCTTAAAATTTTGGGGAGAGTTGTTACTATGTATGTTGACTTATCTTTGTCTGTCAAAATTGCTGCCCTATGATAGTTAACTGACATTTATGTAAACTCACCCAGGTTGTTGTGGAGAAGAAGATTATGAGGGAAAGGAAATTGACGAGGCATGATGTTGGTCGTGAAAGCTTTGTAGACGAAGTGAGTCTAGCCATATGTATCTTAATTCTCTTATAATAATTTTTTTCCCCTTCATATTCAAGCTACCCATATAATAAATACTTCTCAACATAAAATTAAAAAAATAAAATAAAAT